CCCTGTATGGAACTCTGCGCTTCCTGGACTTGGGTGGCTATTTCCTTTCCCATGTTAGGGAAGTTTTTGACTATAATCTCTTCAAATGTTTTCTCGGGTCCTTTCTCTCTATCTTCTCCTCTGACACCCCTATAATGAGAATGTTGTTGTGTTTTATGCTTTCCCAGAAGTCTCTTCATTTCTTTTCATTCTTTTTTCTTTATTCTGTTCTGCAGCAGTGAATTCCATCATTCTGTCTTCCAGGTCACCTCTCCGTTCTTCTGCCTCAGTTATTCTGCTATTGATTCCTTCTAGTGTAGTTTTCATTTCAGTTATTGTATTGTTCATTTCTGTTTGTTTGTTCTTTAATTCTTCTAGATCTTTGTTAAACATTTCTTGCATCTTCTTGATCTTTGCCTCCATTCTTTTTCTGAGGTCCTGGATCATCTTCACTATCATTATTCTGAATTCTTTTTCTGGAAGGTTGCCTATCTCCATTTCATTTAGTTGTTTTTCTGGGGTGTTATCTTGTTCCTTCATCTGGTACATAGTCCTCTGCCTTTTCATCTTGTCTATCTTTCTGTGAATGTGGTTTTTGTTCCACAGGCTGCAGGATTGTAGTTCTTCTTGCTTCTGCTGTCTGCCCTCTGGTGGATGAGGCTATGTAAGAGGCTTGTTCAAGTTTCCTGATGGGAGGGACTGGTGGTGGGTAGAGCTAGCTGTTGCTCTGGTGGGCAGAGCTCAGTAAAACTTTAATCCGCTTGACTGTTAATGGGTGGGGCTGGGTTCCCTCCCTGCTGGTTGTTTGGTCTGAGGAGACCCAAAACTGGAGTCTACCTGGGCTCTTTCGTGGGGCTAATGACAGACTCTGGGAGGGCTCACGCCAAGGAGTAATTCCCAGAACTTCTGCTGCCAGGGTCCTTGTCACTTGGTGAGCCACAGCTGCCCCCTGCCTCTGCAGGAGACCCTCCAAAACTAGCAGGTAGGTCTGGTTCAGTATCCTATGCGGGTCACTGCTCCTTCCCCTGGGTCCTGATGCACACACTACTTTGTGTGTGCCCTCCAAGAGTGGAGTCTCTGTTTCCCCCAGTCCTGCCGAAGTCCTGCAATCAAGTCCCGCTAGCCTTCAAAGTCTAATTCTTTAGAAATTCCTCCTCCCGTTGCCAGACCCTCAGGTTGGGAAGCCTGACATGGGGCTCAGAACCTTCACTCCAGTGGGTGGACTTCTGTGGTATAATTGTTCTCCAGTTTGCGAGTCACCCAACCAGCAGTTATGGGATTTGATTTTATTGTGATAGTGCCCCTCCTACTGTCTCACTGTGGCTTCTCCTTTGTCTTTGCATGTAGGGTATCTTCTTTGGTGAGTTCCAGTGTCTTCCTGTCGATGATTGTTCAGCAGTTAGTTGTGATTCCAGTGTTCTCAAAATATGGAGTAAGAGCATGTCCTTCTACTCTGCCATCTTGAACCCATCTCCTCCCAAAATTTTATATATAAAAATACATCTGATGGGTAGGTATTCAGATTGCAAGAAGACCAATGGGTTTTCTACATAGGAATAAGGGGTCGAAGCCTGTGTGAGGATTGAGAGACAAAGCTTAAGGATTGGAAGGGAATCGTGCTTCACAATTCCATGGAAAGCTGAGACCAGGATACACTTTAGTCAACCTGACATCAGGGAGGGCACCCCAGGGGAATGGCAGGTGTGTGTGTGTGTGTGTGTGTGTGTGTGTGTGCACGCATGCACACATGCATATGCTCTTGCTTTTGTTTGTATATGGCACTGTGCAGCTTGGCTGAAGGACACTCCTTGACTGACCACATCACAGTGGGAGGGAGCATTATCCCTCACTTTGAAAGGGCATGCAGGGCTGTCCTCAGCAGTTAGCTGGTGCTGATCATGTTCCTAGGTAATTATCACTGAGGCTATTGTTTTGTAGGTCATCCTCAAAGGATATCTAAATTCCTGCTCTCCCAATGAGCACTGAGGGTGACTTGGAATGATTTACAGCCATGGATTCTCATAAATAACTGAAAATGGAAACCTTAAGAAAATACTGGAATTTAGGAAGTCAACCAGAGGATGGGGGAAACAAGACTTCAAAGGACTAATAAATATGATCTTATTGGTATTAAGCTAATGAAACCTCAGACATACTAATTATGATTCTCATAAATATGATTCTCATAAATAACTGAAAATGGAAACCTTAAGAAAATACTGGAATTTAGGAAGTCAACCAGAGGATGGGGGAAACAAGATTTCAAAGGACTAATAAATATGATCTTATTGGTATTAAGCTAATGAAACCTCAGACATACTAATTATGATTACCTTATAGGGTGGTGGTATGTAATATTAACTACCCTGCATAGAACTTTGACACTTCAACTTTCCTACAGGTCATACCTTATGATGCCCCACGAGAGCTAAGAGAACATTAGGCACAGACCAGCAAACAAAGATCTAAATTCACCAGCATTCCGAGCTCTTTGTAACATTGCAAGTGTGAGGAAGCTGAGATTGACAGGTGATGTAAACTAGCAGAAGTAGTACTTCCCTCTCTGATCCCTGAACTAGGGATGGGGGGAAATTGCTGGAAGGAAAATGTTAGAAGCAGCTATGAGCAGGCATTCTAACATACCTCCTTCCCCAGCTTCATAAGTAGTGTTGGAATAGAAGGGAGCATGAAATAATTTCCCATGTAATTTGGGGGGTTTCAATGTAATGTTGACATCTTTGATGGCGGTTTTTCTGTACACACAAAAAATTATCCAGAGGCTTCTTCTTTTCTTAAATTACTTGTGTCATTGATATTTCAAATTAAATCCTAGCTCTCTGTTATACTTTGAAGTCCAAATTTAAAATTTTATAATTTTATTTATTTATATGTTTATTAATGTAGCAAATTTCAACATTGTTTTAAAATCTATTTATTTTTGGCTGCGTTGGGTCTTCATTGCTGCCCACGGGCTTTTCTCTAGTTGCAGTGAGATGGGGCTACTCTTCATTTTGGTGCATGGGCTTCTCATTGCGGTGGCTTCTCTTGTTGCGGAGCACGCATTCTAGGCACATGGGCTTCAGTAGTTGTGGCTCCTGGGCTCTAGAGCGCAGGCTCAGTAGTGTGGCACACAGGCTTAGTTGCTCCTTGGCATACGGGATCTTCCTGGAAAAGGGCTCGAACCTGTGTCCTGTGCATTGGCAGGTGGATTGTTAACCACTGTGCCACCAGGGAAGTCCTTAACATTGCTTTTAAGGTAGATTTTACAACTTGGTTAATTAAATTCTCTTAAGCACTTTAAACTACATTTACAAATTTAATATATTCAAATTTCTCTTTAAGTTCTTTGTCTAACAAGGAAAACTTCCCAAGTACCAAAGCATATCTTGTAAATCTAATGAATGAAACATACACATAGCATAGTAATTATAACAAATAAAAAGTCTCTAAGTCCGTGCGCCACACCTACTGAGCCTGCGCTCTAGAGCCGGTGCTCCGCAACAGGGAGGACACCGCAATGAGAAGCCAGTGCACCGTAGCAAAGAGTAGCCCCCACTCGCCTCAACTAGAGAAAAGCCCGGGTACAGCAACAGAGACCCAGTGTAGCCAAAAAGAAAAAAAAAAAAAAAAAAAGTCTCTTAAATATTCCAACATTGTTTTCACACTTGGTCAAACACTCTTATACTTTCAACCTAAAACTTTAAGTCTAAATCAATAATTCAATTACATATTTAAATTGGAAGCATGAGGTTGATTTTAGGTGATCTAATATTCTAAATTCTCTTAAAGATTAAAAGCAATTAAAACAATAAATGTACAGTAACTACTCCCAAATCTTACACAAAATATTAATATTATAATTTTTAGTTTTACTTCCATTTCTATTTTTAGTTCTCAAATGTGGTCCCAGTAATAGAAGCATCAGCATCAGCTAGGAACTTGTTAGAAGTCCAAATTCTCAGCCTCCGCCCCAGACCTTCTGAATCTGAAACTCAGTCATGAGGCCCAACCATTTGGGTTTTAATAAGACCTACAGGTGATTCTGATGCATGCTAAAGTCTGACAACTGCTATATTTAAACCGAAAGTTCCTCATGGGTAAGGCATTCACCATAAAAATAATTAAACTATCCTAAGCATCTGGAGTTACCTTCTCAGGTAAATTTGGGGTTGAATTTTTAGCTGGTGGAAGTTGCATTTTAACGAGAGATTTTTGTTTTGTTTTGTTTTGTTTTGGCCAGACAGGAAATTTGGGACATTAGGTATATTGGGTGATTTTTCTAATGACAATGGGTTACACATAGGGACCTCATGTAAACTAGCCCATTATCCTTAAACATAGTTATTGCATAGCCCCCATCTGTTGTACTCAAATCAAACATTAATTAGTTATCAAATCTGATTTAAGTTTGCAGCTCCTATCCAAGCATCTGTGCCACTTGATTAGATTCAAGTAATCTTTTTCTTGCTTTGTCCTCATCTGGATTCATTTCATGTATTAGTAATTTCTTCACTGGTAGGACTACAATTCCTATAGGTATTTAAGTGATATCCACTTTTTTTTTTTTTGGTACACGGGCCTCTCACTGTTGTGGCCTCGCCCATTGCGGAGCACAGGCTCCGGACACGCAGGCTCAGCGGCCATGGCTCACGGGCCCAGCCGCTCCACAGCATGTGGGATCTTCCCAGACCGGGGCACGAACCCGTGTCCCCTGCATCGGCAGGCAGACTCTCAACCACTGCGCCACCAGGGAAGCCCCTCCACTTTGTTTTTTAAGTGATATCCACTTTGCTTCTTTCTAAAGTTTTTGTGTCTCTGGACTCAGCATTAAAATCTGCTAGTAACAGACAGTTTCAAGAGGAAGGAGGTGGCTTGTGTGTGTTGCTTTCATCTGAAATTTTGTAAAGCAGGGCTCTGTAGAGGTACCCCGAACGAAAATTAAGGGAGGGGAAGTGGAGCTGGTGTCATGCCATCCAAAGGCATTATTTATAGTAAAACAAAAATAATGTGGATGCGGGAACTCCCTGGTGGTCCAGTGGTTAGGACTCAGCACTTCCACTGCTGGGGCCCAGGTAAGATTCCTGGTTGGGGAACTAAGATCCTGCAAGCCGTCCAGCACGGCCAAAAAAAAAAAAAAAAAAAAAATGTAAATTGTACCCATCAGAGTTGTGCAACAAAGCAGCCCTGTGTCTGGGCAGGAATGGGCAGGAGACCCCAAATTTCCCCTGGCTCCTACTGCATCCCCAGTAGGTGTTAGAATTGTCTGAGAGAATATCCACAGGCCTGCCAGGAAAAGGGTCACCAGGACAGGTGACCACGTTACAGAGGATGAGGGCTAGACTATGCATTGTGTCTTTAGGAAGAGAACGTGGCTCATCTTAGAAGGAATTCCAATCCAGGGAACTGATATCTTGTTGTCATTCCTGGGAGGGCTGGTGTGGCATGTGCTGAATGACACCTGTAGAGAAGAGCTGACAAGATGAGATACATCTGGAATAAATGACCAGCATATGACCAAGCTAGACCAATACAACAATAAAATAAGAAGAACAATAAAACAAGATAAAATAAGCAAAAACCATGAAGAAGTGAAGAAGTGAAGAAAGGAAGGATGAAGGGAAGGAAACATACACACACACAAACACACACACCCCCTCAGATGTGGAGGTCATGCAGTGTGTCAAGCACACATAAAGGAAAATATTCCAAACCTGGATAAAACTTAGTAAAAGTTGTGAACTTCAAGGGGAAAGAAAAACAAATTCCTAAAAGTTTTTAGAGAGAAGCAATAGATTATTTACAAAAATGAGAGTCAGAGTGGTTTTAGTCTCCTACACAGCTTGGGATACTAGGAGACAACATAGGGCAAAGTTTCAAAGTTCTTAATGGAAATGCTGTCGAACCTAGAATTCGATATTCACATAAATAGTATTCAAAAATGAGGGTACAGCAGAGACCTTTTCAAACATGCAGTGAATTTTAGAAAAAATTGTTTTGTAAGACAAAGTCAATCAATTGATCAATCAATCAAACTCATTAGAGAAAAAGGGAAAGA